AGCAAAGATTACATAGATGAATTTTAATGTTTCATGCTCACTGTAATGTCACCTCAACATAAGAACTTAAATTCCAAACATCACACAAGAATGTGATAATTTTTGACTTGATGTAAAGGAAAAAAAAGTAATTTTCAATGCTCAACACAGTTACTTAGTGACTCTGTAATTTAATCCATCTTTGGCTCTGGTCTGCAGCATGCGTAGGTGAGGAGCAGCAGCAGTTAGCTCAGGATTGTCAGCTCGGGGTGAGAAACAAACCTGATTTCAACGCTGTCAGCACAGACCGAAGTCCTGACTTGCAAAGTGTGAGTCATGCAGGATGGCTGGAGTGACCTGCTCTCTGTGTTTGTAGTTATGTGTGTGAGTGTAATGTGTTTTGTGAGCAAAGAACGTTGAAATAAAAAGAGCAACAAAGCCAGGGAGGTAAAAACAACATCAACAACAAGAAAAAGAGAGGGAGAGAAAGCCTCATCACTTATAAAGACAGGAGAAAGATCTGTTCATTCTTCATTTTATGTACGAGATATAAAGTTGTCAGTTCCACTCAGCTTTTCTCTGTGTTTCTCCCTGGAAAAAGTCATGTGTTATTTTTATTAGGTATAATGGTGCCAGTCAGGTGGGAGGGGAAGCAGACGTTTCGATCAGAGGTAAAGCTGCATTAGCACAAGCGGGCACATGTTTCTGCTCAGTGTGCTCCTGTTTGCCGTTTCCCGTCGTTGCTCGAGGGATTCGAAACTATCAAACACCCTGCTCGAGCTGGAAACGCCAGCTTTCTCCGTCTGCTCGTGTCCCCCTTTATAGCTTAGCTCTGCAGCCAGCTCAATCTGCAGGCATCCCAGCTATTCCAAACACTCTGGAGCACTAAGGTGGAAACATGTGAGGAATCTGGATGACTGACCCTCCATCCACTCCCCTCGATCGCTGCATTCTGTTACCTGCTGAGGAGGCGGAGAGGGCGGCGGAGGCCTGGGTGTCCAGATGAGGTTATTATAGCGTATCAGTGATGCCTCCTGGGGTAAAAGCAGAGTCTGTGACAGCGTGAGATGGCTCAAGTCAGGCAGTATGAGAGTCCAGCGCTAAGATCTGACCTCCTGGGTGGAGAAAAGGCATATATGATATGATGACATTTTCAGGCGCACATCTAAAACTGATTTCTGCTTGTCTGTTTCGAATGCCCCCTAAACTTTCCCTTCACACCTTCTGTCAGGGTCCTCTTACATCGGCACATGGCTGCAGAGGAGCTACATGGTTCAAATTAGACCCTGAGGCGTGCTTTTACTTCTTCCTTCTCTCTCTCTCCAATCCCCCCCAACACTTATAGCTCCGCGCATTTGTTTCATATTTTGCTCAGGATATGACTCACTCACCCGGCTGATGTTTGATGTTTTAATTATGCAGTGTCAGTGATACACTGGGAGAAAAATGAGGGGTCTTTCTGGCTAAGATTTGGAACAGGGAAGTTGCAATAACATATCACTGCCATTCATGATTAACTGCAGGACCCTCAAGGAGGAAGAAAGCACGGTGTTCTAAAGGAGAACAAGTCTGTTTTGTGTTCTCAATGGCAAATATCTCTGTTACGCTTCTATAGCATTCAGAGGGACACAGGGAGGAGTTTGGTGCTCTGGCTCTGTTCAGTGTGAGGGAGTGGATTGTCTATGTGCCACTGCAGTAAAAAAACAACACAAAAAAACACTGTATAATGGATGATTGACTCCAGCAGAGGCGTGCACGGCAATCATTGCTGCGATCACTAATACAGCACTGTGAGGATTTGTTGTGCAGACTGTGGCTGCCTAAAATAGACTTTTATGAGACATGATATTTCATAAATTGTTAAAAAGGAAAACGATAGAAACACATTCCCGAGACGCAACTGTATAAAAAAAGCAAGACGGCCCACAGCGATGCTAGCCTCTCTGTGAGGCTGCTTAAAGCCTTGCAAAAAAGGAAGTTTTCACAGGACTCTGTGTGAAAAGCTAAGCACACCCCATATGTCAGTAGTTTCTAGAACCAGCAATAACTTGAAGTGATTACTTTTAGTGTGTCTCACATCTTTGTGGAGGAATTGTCATTCTTCTTTACAGCGTTGCTTCATAAACTAAAGTGCAGAACAAATTAGATGTGCGTTCAAACGCAGTGGATCTCAAATTCATCCTCTGGGGAGCATGAATGTTTTTTCTAGCAGCCCATCAAGGAGTTGTAGAGATTTTCATCTGGAGTAAGTGGTCAGCCAATAACACACAGTGGTCCATATTACCGCTGCTGCCAAGGTGAGGTCAGGGGAGGTCTTCTTGAGCAATGATTTGAGTCTACTGCCTCATCTATTGGAAAACCACGAATCAATAACAAATTCAGATATTTTAGAGCAGAATGTGTGATGTTTTATGCTAAAGAGTAGATAAAGGTTGTTATACTTCTACATGCTATTTGAATAACTGGGCTCTTAAAGCCCTTATGCAAACATATTTTATGCATTTATTTTGTTGTTTTTTAATTGGCTAATACTGTGATTTATTCTCAAAAGCTGCCAGGTTCATATTTTTCACATGCACCATCCATTTTCTGAGCTGCTTATCCAACTAGGATCAGGCTGTTCCCTGTCCCAGCTGACCTGAGGGAGAGCGACGTTCATCACGCTCAGCTCACCCATACATCACATGGTTAACACAGAGACAAAAACAGCACTTCACTCTCCTGTCCACACCTACAGCTAAGTTACAATCAGCAGTTAACCTAACAGGAAGAGTATGCAAACTCTGTGGAGGGAGATCCCAGCCAAGCACCCGGTTTGAACCCAGAATATTTTTGCTGTAAGGTGACAATGCTAACATCTGCACCAGCATGCAGACATACACAGTTCATCTCATCAGACTTTCATACTAATACTTTCATGAAAAGATGGGACATCTGGGTGTGATCCAGGAATCGCTGTTATTCATCCCTCACATCATCTCAGATTTGCATATCAGGATGAGGTAAACATAATGACCTGTGATTGGCTCAGAGCAAAACCATCAGTTGCAGCTTCAGTTCTCACAGCAATAAGAGACGTTCTGGCATTAACATATCACTGGGCAGCCATTCCAATAAGCTCACCTCCTTACGAGTTCTATCAACAATGACGAGAAATCAATATATTCATCTAACATGCTGATTACAAGCTACTAGCTTGTTATTTCCTTCCCTGCATCCAAACACTGTGGTTGCTGGCACAGGAGGGAGAAAAAACAAAACAAAAAAAGAAAAGATTGGAAATGAAGAGGGACAATGACAGGTTGACGGATACCACAACACCAGGGCACTGAGTCCATCCCGTCCTCCGTCAAAGCCCCATGAGAATCTGCTTGATGAGGTTTCTTTCAAATGTGGGATGCCCGAGCAGTGGAAAATAAAGTGGGTGATTGTAAATAGACTTCTGTAGTGGGAGGAAAGAGTCACAGAGAGGGAGAAACGGTGGGGGGTATTTTGTGCCACTTGAAAAATGAGTCAAACTTTCCTTCCTCACCTCTTGCTCCCTCTGTATTTCTAGCCAACCTGTCAGCTCCACTGTTATCTGAAGGTTTTACTGGTTTTCAGGCAGAGGTGGGAGAGGAGAGAGAAACAGACGAGAAACTCTGCATTCACAGGACAAACCTTTTGCTGAAAGAAAAAAAAGCCTTATTAGTGCAAATTGAATGAAAGCGTTTTCCCTCCCTTGTTTAAAAAAAAGGGGCTCCTGCAGTGAAAGCGAGACAAAAATAAAAAGTCTGCAGAGATTAGAGTCTTCCACCCTCGTCTGTGTCTCTTTCAGAGCACTTGAACGCCTGAACCAATGCAGGAGACAGCTTGAATCAGTGGGGGACAACTTTTGTTGGGCCCACCTTCAGTTTCTCTCCGGGTAGCTGCAGACAGAGCTGTTCATTTATAGGAAAGTTATAAACAGAAGTTTTTTTCTAAACTCCGCAGCCTTGCAGAATATCATAAACCTCCCCCTCTCTTAAACTGTGATTCACTTCTTATTGCTTTCATTTATTGTTCTGTTATCACGAGCTATGAAAAAGATCTCTTATTTAAAAATGTGCACAATAGTATGAAACAGTAAAGGTTCAGACGCAGAGAGAATGTTTTCAGTGATATATCAGTATTACTTGGACTGCTATATTAGTGATGTCTTCTTATCCCAACTCTAAAAAAGTTGGGACGCTGCGTAAAATGTGAATAAATACAGAATGTAATGATTTATGACCGACACAAACTGTGTGGAACTGAGAAAATGTGACATTTTAAGGCCATTTAGAATTTGTTGGCAGCAACACCACTGTGTAGCATCCCCTCTACTGTCTGTAAACATCTGGGAACCAAAGAAATGAGTTGCTGGACATTTTGAAGGATTTTAAATGGTGCTGATTCTGGATCATTTTCACATATCTTTCACTTCTTTGCATCATAGGGCTTTGCACTGCATGGTGAGCTGTGGTCACAGAAAATTTCTGGCAGTGTTCCTCAGGTCATACAGTGATTTCTATGCCTGTTTTTAATGCCGTGCTGTCTGAGGTACCAGAAACCACAGGCATCAAATACTGTCTTTTGCGCATGCTCTGAATCCTATTATGCCCTGCAGATGATGAGATATTCAAAGTCTTTGCAATTTTATATTGAGGAACATTGTTCTAAAATTGTTCCACAATTTGTAGACATGGTTTTTGTAGTTTGGTGAACCTCTGCCGATCTTTCATTCTGACTTCAGTTTTCTTGCTCTAAATCACTGTACACTATTTCTACTTTGAGAAACTGATCTGAATATTCTAATACTGAGTCTGCAGGGATGCTTCACTACAGTCTACGTTGTGTCACGTCTTGGCCACTGAGCGGCGTTGCGGTCTGACAGCTCGGCAGAGGAGCAGTGGCTCTCGCATTCCCACTCTGTGTGAACGAGTCGAGCGCGGGGCAGGCAGTCAGGCAGCTCTGCAGTTTGATGGGCGGAGGAAGGCAGGGCCCGAAAGCAGTGCAGGCACAGGCTCGAATTACACTCGGGGTGCTCGGGACAGGAGGAGGGAGGGGGGTGATGACACGCACTGGAGGGAAGGAGGAGGGCGGTGTGTGTGGAGACGTAAGGAGGAGAAAAAATCTAGTAAACCTGACAAAGCGTCTGAGTAACAGAGTGAAGACTGTCGGCGGAAGAAGTAGACGCGAGAGACGCTCGTTTCACCGAGAGGACGCACATTCACGGATTTTACGAGGTGTTTTTTTTCTCCTTGCAGTGGACAACTATTCTCTTCTGCCCTTTAGAACTCGTCCCACGTACGTGGTAGCTGCAAACTTTCTGTTGAGTTGACAAGTGCGCTGTTCGGGGAACACTGGGCAGTGTTTTGCGCTTTGGAAGAAACTTGGTGACGAGAGGTGGAAAGTTTCGAGGGGGGACAGCGATATGGTTTTACGAAGTGTTTTGGAAGGATAACGCGTGTAAACCCGGATTTCTGTGCATGGCATTGGACTACGCTGTCACTCGGGTTTGGAATATATCTTCAGATCCGAGCTGATGCCGGCTGATTGTGGAATAGTAAGCTGAAGAAGAAAAAAAAGCCAGCGCCTCGATTTTTTTCCCTTTTTTGCCGCTGCATTGTATTATTGGAGACATTCCTCCCTCTGGATTCAGCTCATGCTCTCTCCTCCCTTATCTGTGCATGCCAAAACAGAGATCTCCACGATTTTAGTCCTCCCTGGTAAGTGTTCTCTGCGTGGGATAAAAAAAAAAATCTAATGCGTCTTCAGAGCCTCATCTGTCAGGGTTCCTGCTGCCATACGCGATAGTAGAAATGCGCTTCCACGGTTTGTGCAGTTATTTATTTATTTATTTTTACAGCTGCACGAAAAAACCCTGAAAATTGTTTGTAGTTTTCTAACCAAAAGAGTTTCCAGAAGACGACAAGTGCGTAAAGTTCTTAAATCTTAAAGTTTTTAAATTTTAGTTTCATATTTTCCTGGCATGCATTAAAAAAAAAACCCCAATTTGTTTTTTTTCTTTTTTTGCACGTAAAAACTTATTTCTGTGAACTTCATCTTTGTTTATTTAAGACGCGAGAGGAGCCACACAACACCTTGCATCATCACTTTAGGGCCCATTAACAAGTGTCCGGGTTATTTATTACTTTGGTAAATTTTCTACATTGCATTTATGGTGCCAATTACCCCGTGACCGCTGTTGTTTTTTCACTGCTTGGTGCCGGAGCCCTAAATCACCGAGGAGCTCCAAATGAGCCCCCCTCATTGTGGAAAAAGCCAACTGATTTGAATTTCAATCGGGGATTCAATCAGTGCCAAGAAATTTCATTGAAAGCTCGAGTTTTTAAATGAAGGCTTGGTTATGTATGAGGCCGAGCTCTCTCTGGGTCCCGTTTTAGAGTGGATTATATCACGTATCACTATATACCGTTTACTTCTGAGTTTTGCGCATTAATTTTCTCTTTTTCCAAATCGTTTCTGTTGTAGGTTATTTATTTATTTGACGGCTGTAGAAAAATGTAGTATTTGTATTGCTCTCTTTAAGCAGCGTAGCACAAAAACACCCCCACATGGAGGCTTTTTTGGTGGGGGCGTGTTATCTGGGCTCTTTTCGTCCTGCAGAAGTTTTTAGACAGCGGTGATGCCAGTAGTACTTGATTGGTGCACTGATTCGTTTACTTTTCATCAATAATTCATGAGTCTGGGCTGTCACTATGCGGAACTGGGTACTCTAATTGCAAAATTCACACCGGCGCATTTCTCTAATAAAGTTAAGACGTCGGGATGAACTCAAGCATGTACGCCGACATCAGGTGCGCGGTCACAGTCCGTGTCCCGCAGTCCCCCGCCCCCGAGCTGTTGAATGAAAGATAACTCGGCATGTGCACGTCTTCTTTTTCACCCTCTAAAAGTCAAATTACATTTGTCTTTGCGGGTGAAACCAATCGATACTTCCAGCTGGAAGAGAAGGAGCTCAGGGAAGCGTGACTTAACCAAACCTCCAGAGACACTTCGCCGCGGTTGAACCGCAGATGTCTGGCTAAACGGAACGATGTGTGTGTTTGTCCCCATGTTGCAATATCGCTTTTTTCAATTAAAACCGTACGGCTCTCATAATCAAGTCCTGGGCATGCAATAAAAGCTCTTACGAATGCGATTAACACAAACACAACAGCGCGGGCAACAGGTTTGGTGCATCTGTTGCGCATAAGCGGCGTCCAGCGGAGAAACTGGTGCCACACTGGCTGCTGCTGCTTTGCCTTTTCTGCACCAGCGACTTTTGAAAACATATAATGACTGATCTGTTACAAAAGAAAACGTAATATTAGTAATTTAGCGGGGAAAATGAGCAGCGTGGAACAGGTGATGCTCTTTTTTTCATTAGATTCATGTGAGATTAAATAAATGCTAGAAGTCTGGGGACGTGAGTGAAACGGCTCCTTTGACACTAAAATTTAGAAGTGGGATGTTTGAGTTCGTGTTCTGAAATATATGTCAGTGCGTACAGATCAAAACTAAAGGTATATGCGGGGCGGCTCTGTGTGGGCTGCCTCACCTTTCAGGTATGTCTGTGGTGTGGCTTGTTTGACAGCATTTTGAAGCACTTGGTGACTCTGTTGTTTCAGCTGTCTCTCACTTTTTAAAAAGAAGTAAGAGGGACGTGGCTCAAAGAGCATCTATGAATTAAGATGAACCATTTTGACTAAATCTGTCTTCTTGTTCTCTCCCCTTGCTGCCTTTCACACTTCTGCCTCTTCAACCTGTCTCCCAACTTCTTCCCCTTACCTCCCAGCCCAGGTGATTGGGTGAATTCCGGTGAGTGACAGGCCAACCCTGCAGCAGTTGATGGTTGGGCGGACCCCCTCAGATGGGATCAGTGTCCAGGGGGAGGTGGAGAAGGGGGGTATGGGGAGCGCTGTCCCCCAATAGCGGGATGGCCTCGTGGGCCTGGCTCCTGGCCGCTGTCCTGCTGTCCCTTTTGACTGTCAGCGTGGCCCGGCCGCCCCTTACTGCCACCAAGGGGGAGGCCACTCTGGAACCTGAAGGTAAGTAGTGAGGGGCTGTAACACGGGGTGGGGGGGGGACCCACATTTGTTTGCCTTGTTTTTCAAGAGCAGGCACCAGTTTGTCAATAACTAAATAAATAAATCCACCCTTCATCCTATTGATCGTTTTTGTTTACTTTTGCATCCTTCCCTTCAAATTCTTGTCATTTACTCACATTGAGGTGGATAAGAATCCAGAACTGGCCCGTGACACAGTTTCTATATTTTATACTCTTATTTATTTATTTATTTTTTAACTTTCGGAGTTTCATGCAGAAGCACAAGTTGTTGTTTTTTTTCATTTAACTTCCAGTAAAAGTTGAAATATTGGAAAAGAGACAACATTTTAGAGGGAGAAATATAAATAAACTAAAGAGAACTAACCTTGGCATGGCCGACCTCTTGTTTTCCTCACTGTGAGTTCTAATTCGCACTCTTTTTGTTTTATTGTTCTTCTCTGTGCGTAGCTTACTGAGCTATACTTGAGCTGTAAAGCCTGGTTTGTGTCTCTGTTTGGAGGGAAAGCTGTGAAGAAGGGTGGCACAATGTTTATCCCGGCATCTCTCTCATGACCTTCTCGTCTGAAAAGAGATTGAGATGGAGATTTAGAGTTCTGGTCTTTGCTTTCTTCCAGTCACGACTGCTGTTATTTCCTGTTCCTGCAAAGTTTGAATAATTGTTTTAAGCTATATAGTTTTGAGAAACATCTTAGTGAAAGGCTTTTTTTTTTTAAGTCTTTCTTTTAGGCTTCTCTATTTCTGTGTCTCTGGTCTCGGAGTCTGGTTAGAGACGAGTTAATTAGTTGTTTTGATGGATGGTAAGTCGCATTCCAAAGTCCTTTGTTCCCTGGCTTTAATCAGCATGCTAATTGTGAGTTAGGCCAAACAACAGAGCATCACTTTTAAGCCACCTCCCCCACCGTCCTTCTGTCTTTACACAAACACACACTGTACCTTTTCTCGGCCTTTGCCCTTGAGGTCAGGTATCAAACTTACCTACTTGGATGAGAGGCTGCCCGAGCTCTCCTCTCCTGTTGTTTTTGTTGTTCTGTCTCAGACTGTTTGGCTCCAAGCCGGTGAGTTCAGAGCCCCACATGGCCCGGACGCTACGCTACATGGCCACAGAGAGGACAGGGGGAGTTTTCCAGAGTTACAAAATCCCCCAGAAGAGCTCTAAGAGGATTTGTGCATATTTGACTTCTCCTTTAGATGGAGAGATTACAGAGTGCTGCTGAGCAGCGATGAAGTCATGTGACTGGAGATTAAGTGGCCTGGGTGAGGTCACCTGAAGAAGAACAGAGAGGGCACAAAGAACCTGGTCTGCTTATCTGATTGTGAACCAATTTATCTGTTGCATGTTGCAAACAAATATTTATTTATTTAAATTATCATCAACAGCACCTTTGTGTGATTTTACTCAATGTGTTGTCCTCTTCAGTCTGTTGCTTTCTTCCATTCACTAATACTGACAGGACACTATGGAGTCACCTGTGGGATGCAGATGTTAGAGAGAGATGGACTGACTTGTCCTACCTACCGTAACTGTCTTGAATACCCCCCCCGCCTCCGTCCCCACACCCCACCCAGAAAGGTTAAGAATTCTCAAAATTTGAATTCTCGCTCCCCTCCCCTCTGCCCTGCAGCCGTGCTTGTGTCTGTGGGAGCAGTAATTACTTTAGATTCATAAGATTGCATATCAATGTTGTCTCTATACAGCCTGCCCCTGCACCCCTGGTGGCCCTGGTATTTTGCCTACCTGTGGCTGTTACAATGGAAGAAGCGGACTGAACGTGCTGTTTAATGTCTTCACACAACAGGCTTATTGTTGCCACTGTAGCCACTTCAATATGGGAACGTTTACCTTGTCCAGGCACGCTCTGTTTGCACATTGATTAAAATACTCTGAATGACAATGGCAGAAAATACACAGGCATTTTTCTGCTCTTTCAAGCCACTCTTCTTGCACATAATGCGGAATAAATGTGGCACCAGGCGCACTGGAACACAGGCTGACAAAAGTCAGCTCATGGTTTGGCTTGACTTTCATGTCGTCCCCGCCTGACTGTGTTCTTCAAAAATGCTCTGATCAGCATGGAGGCAGCGCTTCAAAATAGTCGAGCGGTTAAATAAATATAGGCTCCATTATGCATCAAGGAAGATTCTTTGATGCCTAGACAGGCACACGAATGGGATGGATGCTTGTTAACAACACACTAGTTGCTTTTCCACAGTAGGAATGTAATTGCTCTCTTGGCTTTCTTGCTGCATCGTTCCTGCTTTCACATGTACGCTGCGCCCTTTTAAACCAGTCACACAGTCGGCACATGTTAAACAAAATGGGATTACAGTTTTCTGTCTCAGCGTGTGCATCCGTGTGCGAGGTGTTGCTCATAACCGATCTGTAGCACTGTGCTATCTGCACAGTAGGAGTGCAGCTGTAAAAGTGTAAAACTGTCAGCTGGCCAGTTAATGACATGGATTGTGGGTTTAGATGTGTGGCGATGGCAATGGAACTGAACTCTAAACAAACACAGTGTGTCAGTCGGTGTGTGTGTGTGTTGGGGGGGGGGGGCATTGGGGTTTAACATACAGCTTTCACACAATGGCTTTTACTAGCCTGCCGTTAGCTGGTGTTAATCTTGTAGGTTGGAGTGCGTTATTTGCTTTGGCTTATGTGCCAGAAAATAGCATGTCACTCCACCGCTCACTCTCATAGCTGTCTGATAAGAGGCTGGGAAGAGCCGCTACCTGTGCCAGCCTGTTTCGTCAGACCTCCATGCGCTGTCTGGTGTACTTCAGGTGGTTTTTTGCCGTCTACTTCAGGTGGTAGACGGCAAAAAACCCCACCTTTCCTATTAAGTGTGTGTGTATATATATATATATATATATATATATATATATATACACACACACACACACACACACACACACACACACGATCCGTGGCCTCATACAAGTGTAAAAGGTCTAGATCACATTGTTATTTGTTTTTGTCCTTTCTCTCACAAACTGAGGTCACATTTGTTGTTATCTGCGCATTATGAAGATTTTTCAAAAGGTTACTTAACCACTTAATTGGTAACCATAACGATATTATTGAGTTAAGGAACAATGCTGCGTTACAGGCAAATTTAATGTGATTAGGGTGATGCAATACATTTATATTGTACTCTTTCTGCCATTAGCCCCACCCCTCCTCAGTAGCCCCCCCCGCCCCCCAGAATTACCACCTCAATTAAAAAAAAAAAAAAAAAAAATTAAAATCAACAATACAAAGGGATCAAAATTAAAAAGAAAACTAAAACAACTCAAACTTGTCCATGCCACTGCAGCAGCACATTGATTTGTTGTACAGCTTTAAGAATTAAGCACTCAATATGTTTTTCTTAACATAAAATAACTTGCATAAGACAAGTGTTTTTATAGTCTACTAATCTGACAGATTATCATTAGATTGTCGTTACTGTTGGCTTCAGCGTGTCCTTCATCTGACTTGTTATAATCTCAAGATTAATGCAATGTTTCTGAGGGTCACTACTGCTACGTTCAGCCTAAGAAGATTGTTGTACATAGTGTCCAAAGGGCTAAAGGGGTCGTGTGGGGTTCAGGGAAGGCCTTGATGAGGGGGTGAAGGGGTGAGCGAACTGGAGGGGCTGTTGCCATGGATGCTTGCAGGAGCCAGTTCACGGAGCTGCTTCTTTGTCATAAAAAAAAAAGCAGAGGAGGGATTTGAATCTGAAAGGACACAGACATTAGAAAAGGGGTAGAGACAAAAAAGGGGGAGAAAAGTCCTGGGATTTAAGTACGTGAGGGGGTTACAGAGGAATAAGAGAGGGGTAAAAAGAAAAGAGGAAGGATAAGAAGGGCAGTGGAGATGATGTGATTTGAGCACGTGTATGTGAGTGTCTGTGTTGGACTCCATGCATGCTTAGTGTGCGCCTTTGAGATGGCAGTCATTACATTTAGTCTTCGATCTCATTTTGCAGAATGAGGCAGGGAGGAGATGGGAAGATAGGCCTGGAGGCAAATGTGCCTCTCTGAAGAAGTCGATTCCTAAGATCAGAGAAAGGAAAAAAAGGAAAAAACGTTGCTCTTGCCTTTTACCAACATTTCTGTGGGGCTCATGCCAACTTGATAGACGGACAGATGGGCAAGCAGACATTAAAGGGACTTTGGTGAGAATCGCTTGCTGCATTTAGCCACACATATACACACACACACACACACACATATGCACACATATTTGGATTGTGAGACTTAATTATTGCCAGCAAAAGATGGTGCGACTGAGGATGAGAAGAGGGAGCGGGGATAAGAGGGGCTGAATCTGTTCCACCTGATGGACACTTGTAATGGCTGTGCATGAGAGGGAGAGAGATGGAGTTTGAAATGTGCTCCAGGAGAAGAGAGGAAAGTGATAGGACTGTGAGAGGATGGGAAGAGGAGAAAGGTGCTTTAGAAAGAAATTGAGAAAAACGTGTGTGTGTGTGTGTGAGAGAGAGAGGCTCCCGCCTCCTCCTGTTGTGCAGAAGGGGGATGAAACTTTGCAGAGATGAGAAAATCTGCAGTGAAGCGTTTCAGCTCTTACACACAAGAGGCTACAAGAGTCCATGTACACATGCTGAGAGTAAGTGTTTCACCGGAGCTGTGCATTTAGATAACATGTTTAAGATTCAGTTCTGTATCTTTATTTTCTTAGTTTGTCTACAAGTTAGTTTCTGCATTCTGTGTGTGTGTGTTTACATGGGGTTAGATGACACAGGTTCCCATGAAAAATCAGGTATGCTGGAGGTGTCAACAGGTTTGGGAAGGGTCGAGGTTAGGTCAGCAGGGTCGTGGTGGGTGTGGATGTGTGTAATCAGAGGAAGAAGAGGGCAAAGCGGAAGGAGAGGTGAAAGAGCAGCAGGAGGAGGAGGAGCTGATGGAGGGGCACAGATGGACACAGCAGAGAAAAGAAAATGATGAAGACAAATTCAATCACTCACACACCAAATGGATAAATTCCTGCCCTTCCCTTTTCCTGTTTTTCCTTCCAAACTTGCGTACCCTTCTTCCATCGCTCCTTCATTTCCAGAACTATCCCTGTGATATAAAAAAACCCCTCCAAGCAGTAATAACATCACACTGAATGCCTCCAGTGTGGAAAACCACATTGTAAAAGGTAGCGGAGACAGCTCCCATCAATCAGCACAGGAGCTCCACCTCTTATCAGACCACACACTTGGCCCTGGGTGCCAAAGGGGGGTTTAATTACTTCCGGTTTGAAGGAGTTAAGAGGGAAAAACAAGACAATGCAGGAACCGTACCTGTGTGCGTACGTGCCTAGGGGCAAGAGGTTTGCGCACATGCCTCAACTCCAGGCTTGTGGCGGAATGACTTTCCCTTCCTGTTGTACGTGTGTGTGCAGGTTTACGTTACATTTGACACAAACATAGGAAGCGCAGAGGTGTATAATGAGGGTGGGGTGTCGGTGAAAAGGTGCATTGAGGTACAGGAAAGGCAGGGAGTGCCGCTGCCTCTGTAATTACACATATCGGACTTCAGCTAAACGCTCTGCATATACCACCATCGCTGGCTTTTTTTGTACGCTTTTCCATTGTTGCGACTTTCCTCCCTCGAATCTTTTTAATCCCTCTCATTTTTCACCTTGTTCCCACTGAAGACGTAAACTTGTGAACATCTGCATTATAGAGAACAACACTGACTAAGATCAGTCTGCAATCGAGCTGAGTGAACACATACACGTGTGCATGAATGTGTGTGTGAAGTTTGCAACGTGCCCGGGGTGACTGGAATTGACTTGAGCATATACGGCAGAACCCAGCTTAGGTTTTTTCCTAGTTTGCTCAGCGTTCCCTCACTGTCTCAGTGTGTGTGGATATGTAATCCATGATGATCCTGATGTAGAAGTGCAGTCTCAGCTATGGAAATTCAGAATTCTCTCTCTTTTTTTTTATTTTTTATTTTTTAAACATGTCGGACGTTCATCTTGCTCCGTCAGTGCAGATGTACGAGTCTGAGAACACAGTGTGTGCACACGCACTCGCAGGCAGGCTTGATTTTTCTCCCAGAAATGAAGAGTTTTATGCACTTTGGAGTAGAGCGCTGAGTTTCTTGCTCTCTGCCTTGGCTGGCAGGAGCTGAGGCTGTAGATCTGGCAGAGCTGTAGATCCTCCATGGCCATGTTGTGAAAGAGAACGACGACAAGAGAGATGGAAAACAGAAGAGTCAGGCTGCCGCCAGCTCAAGGTTTTTCGTAGCTTAGGTGCACAGTCAGTACCAGAGAAATGCCAAGACAGGAAAAAAAAAAAAAAACAACCCGTCCGATCCCATCCCCGCCTCCCCCCTCCCACTTCCCCTGCCTGTCAACTACTTCCGTCTTAGACTTTTCTGGATGCTTTCCTTTCTGATGGGCAGACATTCTGGAGTTGTATTACCTTCCCTTTTTCTTTCTTTTTTTTTTTTTTAAACGCTGCAGAAATGTTTCTGCACTGCTCCTACTCACCTACACACACTGCTTGGCATCTGCACTGAAACAGATGGATGGCTGGGGAGGGTTGTTTCACCACAAAGATGTCCATTTCACAACTGTTCGCAAAGCTTGGATTGTTTTCTTTGGTTTTGTTTTTATTCCTTTCTCCTTTACACACACAGCTATGGCCATAACTGCATGCACTGAATCTATAACAGCCAATCGTCTGCACACTTCAACGGATCTAGGTTTCCAAGGGTCTCATTTTAAATGACTGGGAGTTTGTAAAGATGTGTTGGTGTGGCGGTTTGAAACGTGGGCCTCCTCTTTTCTGTATTGCTCCTCCTGCATAAGTTGATTTAAATGCATCCGTTGGGTTTTTTTGGTGTTTTTTATTTCTTTCTTAAATTGCTTGTTTCTTCCTCTCCCACCTCTCTTTCCTCCTCCTCCTTGTGCACCCTCTTCCTTCCTCATCCTTTACCCCCACCCACCTTCCCCGATCCCCTTCGACCTTACCCCACTCCTCCCCACATCTGCTCTGCAGAGGCGTCGAACAAATACCAAATTTCTAAGCCCACGGTGTGCTCAGTGCACCCGGGGGAAGTGCTGAAGCTCAGCTGCCCTCTGCCAGGGACGGGGACCATCACCTGGACCAAAGATGGCAGCTCTCTGGGCAACAACAACCGCACGCTGATAGAGCAGGAGGTGCTGCAGATCCGTGACACCACGCCCAAGGATTCGGGCCTGTACGCCTGCACCAGCGTGGGCAAAGACACAGTCTGCTTCATAGTCAATGTCACAGGTGAGTCAGGGATCAGGCAAGGTTAGGACAGGTCAGGATGTGAACTTTAGAGATAGAGGATTGGTCTGTGCTTGGTGTGGATCCAGGAAATGGCCATGGAGTAGATGTGGTCAAGGATGAGCAGCCTGAAGCTCAATATATAGTGTGTGCGCTTGTATAACAACAGTAACTTACATTCATATTTAATATAAAAAAAAAAATGCCCTCACGCTATTGATTCCTTTAAAACTGTGTTGCAGTGTTGTAACATGGAAATTGCTACGTGTGTGTCTGTGTGTGGGGTGCAAAAAAGGATGGCAGTAACCGTGGTTACTCTGTGCAGATGCCATCTCGTCGGGGGATGATGAGGACGATACAGAGCGATCGGAGGACACTGGGGCGGATGGAGAGCAGTTAAGTGAGTATGGGAGGAAACCAAAGGGGGTATGAATGAGTTCGAGATGCTCTCCCTTTCCTCACCAGGTCCCGTAGATTAGGCACCCCTGAGCAAGATGCCTTAAAGAGACAGTAGTAACCCGTTTCTTCACCGATCTGACATCTTCCAACTTCTCCGTTCAATAATTTTCTCTGTTTCCCGACATTTGTTCCATCGTTAACTCAAGCTTCATTCTCCTACCAGTTACAGCTATGTCTCCATGACACTTTAAATGCACATTTTGGATGCAGAGAAGGCTAAAGCAATTAACTAATAGCATATTTGCCCATATCAAATAACAAAAAGTTCAGTTTAAGGGCTTTAAAATTAGCACATACCATGGTTTGAGTGCTCTAGTCTGTTAAATACCGAAGAGTCCCTAAGAGCATGTCAGAACTTAAGTGTGGGATGCTGATTGTGATAGCCAAATACTTAGAAAGGCTTAATCCCCAAGCGAAATAATCTACTTGGCTTTGTCAGAGTTTGTTAGCAGAAGTGAGATTCTGTGATTATGATTAAAGCACAGACTGGATGGTCTTTATTTGTTCTGGGAGTGACACCAAACTCTTGTCAAATTGGACTTTTAGCCATATTGCTGCTATTCTATACATTAGTGTTCCTGAGATTAGAGCGTGTGTGTGTGTGTGTGTGTGTTTTTCAGGCTGGACGCTCCGGGGAGTACAGGGATTCCTTACATTCTTCTAGCTTGTGTCTCACAGGTAGTCAGGCCTCATGGAGCCATCCTGCCAGCCATTTAGTCAGCTGGGCTCATCCATTATGAAAGATGCCCATCTGGACTCAGTTACCCACCTGATGGGTTTGTGTGTGTGTGTGCATGTGTGTGAGAAAGAGAAAGTTCTTTACCCAACTTTGTGGCCAGTATCTGGGATGTTTCTGCACATGCGCATGTGCACGCTTGCGATCGCATACGCTCTCACGAAAAGGAGGCTGAAACAAAGTTGAGGGCTTCTACATCTTGTTAAACTCCTCCACAGGCGCTGCGTCTCATCGTGAGTTCTCCTTCTCCACTTTTGGGCTGACTGTAATTGCCTGAAATCCATTAAATATGTGGTGGTGATGGTTGGGGGGGGGGGGGAGCAGAACTCGAGCAAGAGTAAAAGGAAAAAAATGGTGGAGGGAGAAAAGATCCAGCCACTCATGTGGTAATAAGCTGTTTGAAAACAAAGGCGAAGCTGTTCTGGCAGTACAGTTGCATTTTCTCGCCGTGTGTGTTTCTGAAAATTCAAAACCAAGATTATTATTAAAAGAAAGGGGGGGGGGAGAGGCAGGGGAGTGGGGGTGTGTTGGATCAGTACCAACTCTTTTCTGAGCATGGCGTGGAGCCTTGGCCTCAGGCCGAGAAGGAGGAGGGTGGGCGTGGGAGGGAAGGAGAGTGGAGAGTGAGGGGTGTAGCTTTATATTCGTGGCTTTATTTTCTGGATCGGGCATCGGGCCATTGCAACACAGAGCATTTTGTTTAAACTTTGTACAGAAGACTGACAAACATATGCTAGTGAAGAAAAGATGGAAATTTGTTTGTTTATCAGCGGGGGGTGGTGTAATTGGAGAAGATGCAGAGGAGCCTCTACAGGGATCTGTGAGGGGAGCCATGCTTAGGGTGGTGGATGGAGGGAAGGGGGGTAGGGGGGACTGATGTCATGATTAAGTTGAAAAGCCACGAGGAGCTTCGCTCTAAGCTCGGGTCTAAATCATCAGATCTGTATCCTGTTTACAGTTGTGTTGTTTAGATGATTGCTCACTTTTATTGCGTGTTCCCTTTGGTAAAAGTTGTGCATCTTTCGAATTTTTATAAGGTAACTCCTCCCCGTCTCAGTTTTTAGTTTGCTTATGACATCATCTTCCTTGTTGGGTGGGACTCAGCTGAAGAAAAGTTGATGTCATAAATCTGAGCGAACCAACCAGGATTAAACAATGTCTGAATCAAAACTTGATGACGATTGATCTGCCACTATCTTTCAGATCGAATTAAACCTTCCTCACATGTGTTAAACATATGTAATAACTCTTTGAAGCTTCCTTCGTTTGTTGCATATTTCTTTTTTGGATTTAGGAAATCCTGCCATCATGAAAGGTTGTCAAAATAAATAACAGAGTTTCGGCTTGATCAAGAAAAACATTACAAATTGAATGCTTTTATATCAAATTTGTCTTTGTGAAGAACCCATATGAACATGGTAAAAGTTGACATTTTAGAGGTACTTTGATTTGACAGATTTCTATTTTATTTTTCCAGCACTGGTACTAATTTACCATTAAAAAAAAATCACTTGTTCAGCTTGCACAGATGAACGGTAAACAGGAGGATATTGCAGCTTAACAAGAAATCATTTCAACAATGAAATACTTCTCTGGGACACTTGCAGATTTAGCTCTCTAGAGGAGCTTAGAGAGAAAAAAAATCTTGACTCTCAGTGCCTGAGTTAGATAACCTCAGCTCACCCCAGGCCAGCTAAGGATAAACAGCCGTGAGCGGGGAGCCGGATGTGCAGGGCTTTGGGGGCGGCAGGGATTCCTGGAGGCCAAAGCGTTTGGGCCAGCGAGAGTTTGGCTTCATCTGAGGGCTTGTTGGGTTTGAAGTGCCATCCCTCCGGACAGAGAGCATGGGAAACTGCACTGCTCACCTTTTATGTCTCAACCTCATCTTCTGACCGGCTGCCAGTTTGAGGTCAGAGGTCGGGTTTGAGAGACGGGCTCACGATGGGTTAGTCTCCACCTAATCTGTCTCTGTCTGAATGGATGGAGTGATAACAGGGCGAGTGTGCGGAAGTGAAGCTGGAGGAAAAAGAAGAGCAGTGATAGTGAGAGTGAGGAGGAAGATGAAAGGGGTAGTGACTAATTATAGTGCGAGCACTTACTGTATGCATCCATTCAGGAAGGAAGAGCGATGTTTACTGACTGTACTTTCCAAATATGCTCGACTTGTCCGGTTGTTTAAGCCAGAGAAATGATTGGTGGCTTCTGCTGATAGTATGGGCAGGAAGGAAAGAGAGTGCAGGGAATAGTCTCCTTCAATTTAAGCTTGTGTTTGAACCAGTAGCAGTCTTATCTTTGGGTATTCCCTCTGTTACTTGCCATATGAGGGGGAAGTGATGGTGTGGAAGACCGTTTGGATTGTTGTTTGACTTGGAGTTTCTCTTCCCCTCCGAGTCCCATCTGCTTAGGCAATCACCCTCCCAGGTGCAGAGAAAAAAAAGAGGGGCGGGGGAATCCAGCTGACTGAGTGACTGAAATTGTGAGGGGAAAAAAAAGGAGCTGACAAATGGACGAAACACAAGCACGGTGACAGATTTCAGTAGGAGAAATAACGGTTGTCAGTTTGGTGTTGATATGAATCTGGACAAAAGTATGCAGCGAAAACTCTGATATCCTTCGTTAAATGTGACATTCATTTTCTCCCCTGACGGCACATAATGATTTTCAAAAGGTGATAAGCGTCCTGGGCCCTGCCGTCCATATCTAGCCAAGTGACAGGCAGATAAACAGGGCAGCTATGGTAATTGGAGGAAGTGGAGGGAGGAAAAAAGCTGCTAAATGGAATGAGATGAAATTGAATGTGATGGTCTAGTTACCCTCCTGGCAACGCCCAGGCACATTCTCCCCTTAGAGCCGATGTTTTCCCCCCCTGCAACACCCCGTCGAGCCTGCAGGAAAAGTGTGTTTTTGTTTAGCTCTGTGAATGTTGAGCTCTGGTTTTTGTTCTGTTGGAGGGGGGTTTGGGGTTCCCAAAGCCCTGGGAGTTTTACAAATGCTTCAGGTTTGTCTCTTCTTGCAGTAATGCTTCTAATGTACATGCCTTAGCCAGTCTGCAGTCCCACTGCCAAAATGTTAATGCCGAGGACATTATTAGGAAATCTCAGCCTCACTCAACACCAACTGTTCTCTGGTTGCAGGCGCGCCGTATTGGACCTCATCAGCAAAGATGGAGAAGAAGCTGCATGCGGTGCCAGCTGCCAACACAGTCAAGTTCCGCTGTGCTGCAGGAGGCAACCCCAAGCCCAAGCTGCGCTGGCTTAAAAACAGCAAGCCTTTCCGCCAAGAGGACCGCATGGGAGGGTATAAGGTAGGATAAACACTAATAGATCAGAATTTTTATTACTAACGTCAACTCACTTCCCTCTCTGGGTTTTGGCTGCTTTTCTGGGCTGCGGTTCTCATGGCCATTTTGTGAATTTTATTTGCAAGGAGAGCCTTCTCCTTTCAATACTTCCCTGAATGTCCTTTCACCCCTTTTCCACCCTTCGCTGGAGAGACGGGAGGAGGAAAGACAGAGGAAACGAGGGCAGGGTTTCTGGTGTGAAATTGGAATTGCTCATCCGTGCGCCTCTTCTCACCGGGATACTTTGCAGAGCCTCTCACTGTAACTTGACATGGTTCTATACCCCCAACAATTAGAAATGTAAGCCCAGGACGTAAGGGTTAAATGCTCCTAAACAGTAATGCATAGAGAAAGTCGGTAGCGTCAGGTTTGAAATGAGTTCACAATGTTGAGGTAACTCGATCAGGGAGAACAGGTCCCACTGGCTTTAGGTTGGAGACTCGTAGTGATTCCAGCTTGTTATTCTTTTGACCTGAAATATGATTTACAAATGCTATAGCTGAGCTTGTTCATATTTAAAATTCATGTGCTGTGCATGTTTACACCTTTGATTCCAGGTGTAGATTAAACTGGTGCTAGTCTGATACGCAATTTGGTTACAGTTTGTTTTCTCTCCTTTAAATTCATCTCTTTGTCCCCTTACTGTATACGATGGAGTCGTACTGATGAAGTGCATTAATAATGCAAATGGACAGTTATGAAATTCATTTATGAAAAGACCCAGTGATGCTGAATGAGTCTGGGGCTCCTGGTTAATGACTTGTGGTTTATGAGGAAACACATTTCACTGCCAGGAAAGTTTAGGTGCAGATTAATGTTGATGTAGCCGCTAATGTTGCTTCCCGTTGGCTTTCAGCACACTCATTACAGCACGGACAAAAAACAGCCACGACGTGGCGGAAATGACACAGTCAAGCTGTCAAATCTACCGTGGACAGTTCATTTCTCTCTTTTTGTCAACAAAGGCAGGACAAAAGCTGTACCTGAGCCCAGCCCTGTAGTATAATCTCTCCATTGTGTGAAATGTAGGCCTGTACAAGCAGTGGCTACAGTGTCTCTTCAGTGTGCTGATGGAAACTCTATTGTCAACTCACACCTGCTGATGCCACACAGAGGTGAAGCTATTTTTGCAAATAAGTATGAATAACTGTATGTTTTTAAAATGGCTTTGACTACAGGATGGGGGAGACTAAATGAAATAGCAGTGGTTGACAGAAGAGGTAGACGGCTAACGTGGAAACACGCAGGGCAATGTTAGGCGTACTTGCAGTGTAAGTACTTCTTAGAGCACTGGGAACTTAGACGGTGATATAAACTGGGAAGCTTTCGCCATCAGGGTATGTAATCTGCATGAATAAAGAAAAGATTGTGACGTTGGAGAGTCATTTTGTTCAAATCTGACCTGAATATTGTTTGCACACCGGATCGTCTCGTTTCTTTAATGCTTCTTTTCAGATCCCCTCTGTCGTGTGCTCCTTTTTTTTTTTTTTTTTTTTCCTTTCCTCCTAGTCTTCACATTTAGCACCGGCTCTCGGTGTCTAATCTCTGCTCAGTGGCTCAGTATTTAATGACATGCACGTGATAATAAGTTGTGTGAGTTTCTGTCTGCGCATAACAAGAGACTGCTCCTTTACCCAGGTGCGTAGCCAACACTGGACCCTGATCATGGAGAGCGTGGTGCCGTCCGACAAAGGCAACTACACCTGTTTGGTGGAGAATGAGTTTGGATCCATCAACCATACCTACACCCTGGATGTAGTGGGTCAGTACTACACACAAAACACACACTTAGGCTCAAAGTACACCTGAGAGGCTAACAAAGGAGGGATGGAGGAGGGGGAGGGCAGTGGGTGTTTCTCACAGTGGGAATAGAGCGTCTTCTGTGGAATTGCCCAGGTGCGCTCTGGATGCAGGTGGAGGTCAATGAGGAATGTGGAAGCTAAAGATGAATATGTCAACAGTTTTAATATGGCTATCAATAATTTATATAACAATATTTAATTTGTGTTAAGTCAAACATTTGATGATTTTGAAACTACTCGAAGAATTGAGTGGTGTCTCACTAATGTAGAAGATCTTCATTTGGCCTGAAAAACATTTTATTGCTCTTTTTTTTTTTTTTCTAAAAGCCCTCTGTACAGCTGGTTGTCTCACTATTCAGCAGTGATTGAAGAAAACAATCAGACTTCAGCACTGTAGCCAGACTGACAGTCGGAGCTCTGTTCCTTTTACGTTAACTAGTAATTACTTCATGAATTTCTTTACAAATAATTAAAAAAAAATACTCATAACCCTCTCACAGACATATCATTGCATACAGCTGCTTTGATAATTCTTTCTTGATTCTGAAGAATCTTTTTTTTTTTTCAATATACTTTTATTGATTTTATAATTGAGCAGTATACAACAATCACCTTCAAAAGAACACAATAGAAGATGGAAGGCAAGTCAACAAGGGGGTAATACAGCATACATAAATGTTAAGACAGAGTATATTTCACTTAAGTTTATCCATCAGGCTAATGACTGGTTGCCAAATCTTATAAAACACACTCTCTCGGTTAGACAAGGTAAACCTGATTTTCTCCAGATGGAGTACATTTCCAAATTCTCTCAACCACATTTCGAAGGTAGGAGGTTTAGCAGACTTCCAGCAGAGAAGTATCAGCTTTCTAGCCACAATTGTGGTCGTTGACACAACCTGCGTCTCTGTCTTGTCCCTTGCCCATCCCAGTTCACACACCCCGAACAATGCTGCAAAGGGGGTACATGGGACCTCCCTGCCAATGGCTTTGGTCAGAAAATCAAACAAATGATTCCAAAAGAGCTGTAGTTTTTGGCATTGAAAGAAAATGTGAGATAAAGTTCCTTGACCACTCGAACACTTAACACAGAGGGCTGAAACGTTCTTATATATTTTTTCCACTTTAGTGGGAGAAAAATGCAACCTATACACAACCTTAAATTGGATCAAACAGTGTCTAGCATTTATAGAACTACAATATATATTCTTAATGCACTCTTGCCAAAGATCATCAGAAACATCCACCCCCAGTTCTTCCTGCCACTGCTCCCTAAAAGTATCAGATGAAGGACTGTATATATCTAGTAAGGCCCTGTAAAAGCGAGACACAGCACCTCTAGTATAGGGCTCAACTGACATGAAGCTGTCAAGCACTGAGTTTCGAGGAATCAAATTGTATTGTGGAATAGATGCTTTGATGAAATGTCTTAACTGTAAAAATCTGAAAAAATGTGAATTAGGAAGATTAAATTTCACCCTCAATTGCTGAAAAGATGGAAAATATCCATCAATGTAAATATCTTTGAGAGAACAAATCCCTCTTCCCTGCCATTTCACAAACATGATGTCCTCCAGCCCAGGCCTGAAGGCATGATTGTTACATATTGGAGCATCCAAATACATTTTAGGAGCCTTTACTGTGCCCAATAGTTGGTTCCAGACCTTAATTGAATTTTGAATCACAGGATTTCTGCCATATAGTGTATTTTTCACTTTTATCGGGCTATTAAGCAGGGCTGGAAGACAAGTTTGCCTACAAGACAGGTGTTCCATCATCAACCATGAAGGTTGTGATTCTGAAGAATCTTGAAAGAGCAGTTGTGAAACAGCTAATTGATTTTCTGCAGAGGAAAGGCTTATTTGAAGTGTTTTAGTCAGGTTTCAGAGCCCATCACAGCACAGAAACAGCTTTAGTGAAGGTTACAAATGATCTTCTTATGGCCTCTGACAGTGGACTCATCTCTGTGCTTGTCTTGCTATACCTCAGTGCAGAGTTTGATACCGTTCACCACAGTATTTTGTACTGCGCTGCAGTGGTTTAAATCATGTCTAATAAAATCCAGTTTGTTCATGTAACTGGAGAGCCCTCTTCAAACACTAAGGTTAATTATGGAGTTCCACAGGGTTCTGTACTAGGACCAGTTCTGTTTACATTGTACATGGTTTCCTAAGGCAGCATCGTTTGATAGCCTAGCATACATTTTCATTTCTGTGCAGACGATACCCATCTTTGTGTCTAGGTGAAGCCAGATGACACACACCACTTAGTTAAACTGCAGGAATATCTTAAAAATATGAAGTCTAATTTCCTGGTTATAAATTCAGATAAAGTTCAGGTTGTACTTGTGTTGTAATTGGGGTTTCCCCTGTATTGTAGGGAATTTAGTGTTTTGCCACAACTGCTGTTGTGATTTGATGCTGTCCAGATAAGATAAAATAGGTTGTTTTTGTAATTTGTCTTGATATGTCAGTCCCAACGAGCTAAAACAAATGTTTAGTGTCTATTTAAAGGATAGTTTAATGCAAATTGCAAGAAAAAAATGTTGAACCTACTCATGTTTCTTACAAATTGGCCCCTGATGATGTCATGAAATGTCAAATTCTTGTCATTTAGTACAACTTACAAGTCAGTAAAAAGATTTGTGAATGATTTTATCATCTAGACTCTGAGACAACAGAATGCTGGCTGAGCAGTATCACAGGGTTCAGATCCACCTCAGTCAACCCCCTTTTCTGACCTTTGGAGTAAGACAGCAAAGACTGTTTTTCTGCTCGGTTTGCAAAATCGATTGTGCGGACAACAAGGGGAGTGGGATAAAGATAGTAGATAATGTAAGCCTGTGTGCTTGTGCAAGCGCGCACACCAACTTTGCTCTTAAATTGGATTTGAACCAGTTCTCCTTTGGCCTTTGCTGTGCATCATAATTTATCTGACATAGTAATTCTTCTACAGCCTAGTCAGTAAACCACAAATAATCAGAATGGACATGAAGCTGCAGCTGCTTGTTTCACTGAAGAAAATTTAGGGTGCTACACTCATGCATTTGTAGTTTATGGTTCTAGCTCTGTCACTAATCTTTAGCAGTCATGCTGTAATTGCACGCTCTTTTTATTAGTGCCTCCATGGTAATGAGTATTATTTTCACTGTATCAGATTTAGATCAAATAGCACAAAAGTGAACATACAGGCACACAAACATGTGGAGGTCGACACACGGGCGCAAATGCTCCCCAACTAAGGCCCCCTGCTCTGCTTCGCTCTGCACTTAGCTCAAGCTCTCCTTCAGACTGCATATTTCTGTTTTTGTTCTGTTTTATTGCAGAGCAGTAAACCCCCTCCATGTCTGGCTCCACAGCCACTGCCCCCTGCAACCTCTTGCTTCATTTTACTCCATTATAGCTGGTTGGACAGAATGGAGAGAGGGGGAGAAAGAGAGAAAAGGAAGGGAAGGGAAGCAGGGACAGAAAATGCTGCTCTTATCTGTCTTTTTTTTTTTTTTTTTGTCCAAATGACCTGCATGATCAGCTATTAAAACCAAAAGCAGCCAGTTTGCTCTGGTTCAAGCTGGGCTTTGGAGAAAGGGTTGCAAAGTGACAGCCATGGCAAGTGGAGAAATGAGGAGTTAAAAGAGATCGGGGTGGCTATGTGACATTTTGTGGGTAGCCCTGTGTCCTCCTGTGCTGTGCTGTGTTTTTCCTAAGCCCCTCCCTGACCTTCAGGTCACTGTGTGCCAAGCCACCCAGCACCCAAAGTTCATCAGACTTGAACGATGGAATGCCATCTCCTTGTTGTGACCCTGGTAACAACAACACATTAAAAATTAATGCGGGGTTTGCTTCTTCGTTTGTTTTGATACAGAGAAACCTTAACTTTTTCTATTTTTCTGTTGCTTACTGGAATTTTTTCCAAATATGTCTTCTGCTTCCTTCCTTTAAGTTCTTGTACAAGTTCAATGGGGAAACGTCTAGACCCATAACCACGCGTTACACACTTTCCCATCCCTTGTGTTCATTTACTGGAGACTTGACCATAACTACTACCTCCTTAACTCTCACCCTAACCTTAGTCTAAACTTAAACTGACCTTTCATGCTAAATCTTTATGATTTATGCTATGGGAACTTCCCAAAACCAAATCTCCTCCATGTGACAGCATGAACAGACTTGTGTCCTCACAACATCAGATCTAAGAGTTTACACACACACACACACACACACACACACACACACACACACACACACACACACACACACACACACACACACACACACACACACACACGTGTGATATTCCTTTTTCTAATTTAAGAAAGAAAAGCTCCACAGCCTTTTATTGTTTGCGGGTTTCTCCCAAATCATTACGTGGCCTATTTTTCTCACACCACCACATATTCTGTCATTTAGTCTAAGTAGTCAGCTATGCAGCTCTAAATGCTCCAGCCAGAATTGGCACAGCTATAATAAAGTTTCAAGTTCATTTAAAGAAAAAAAGAAAAAGGAAAAAGTCCTTTGACTTGCCAACATGTTCCTCTGCGTGTGATTGTTTCACATTTTGAAATGGTTTTAAAGTTCTTTAAAAAGAAAATTGCCTCATAAAATGCTGTTCGGTATGTTTTACAAAGAGAGCACGAAATTCAAGTCGATCACCTCTCCCTGTTTTGTAAAGATCGAGAGGGTGCGGAGGCTCGTGAAGTATGGGAGAGGAGAGAAAATGGGGGCAAATAAAGAGAGACTATAAACAAGACGTGCTCTAGGAATGTGCAGAGGGGAGGAGGGAGGAATAAGGGGTGGGATTGATCTGATCTGACAGATGTCAAAAAGGTGGAGCGTGGAGACAAATGCAGACATATGGAAGAAGTCTCTACCTCTTAGGTTCTGCACTATCCATCTGTCGATCCCTCGTCTTTCCTTCCTTTCACCCTGCTAATTATTCCCCCCCCCCTTTTCCCCCTCTTTCTCTCTAATTCCCAGCCTCCATGCTCTGACCATCCCCCGTGACGAACCCCGACACGTAAACATACACGGGCACAAACGTAGTCACTACAGTTACCTTCAGGCTTTGTTTTGGAAAGGCGCTGCGGCGCCCCGGGCTCGGTGATGTCACTTTGTGCGTGTGTGAGAGTTTAGTGGCAGCGGGTGGTTGCTGTCAGTGTGGGGGTTGGTGGGCTCCTCATAGCGGTGGTGTTTGAAAGGGGGCATTGTTCCACAGGTCTCGCTCTGGGCAAATGTTTGCTTGTAAAAGAATGCAGATAAGACGAGATGTGAGGGCGCTATGAAGATATTCCGCTTTCCGAGACGGGCACATAGTTTAGGTTAACCCCCAATGTGCGCCTCGATTTATAAAAGTCCTCCTCTACCTGATTTCTGTTTACTAGAGCTAGATACTCCTCTTTGTTTTGTTTGTAGCTTTCAAGAGCTTCTTAGATTTACACATCGGGATCACCATGATTATACCTGCCTGGGCTGCTCGGAAAAACCATTCACACTCACAGTGCATAAAGCACAAATCAACGTTCACATTCTTAAACATCAGATTTAGCTACGAGACTCTTAAAGAGAAGTGGCAGGCATTTAGACATGTTCTAATTTTCTTCTCTCTCAACAGAGCGGTCTCCTCATCGGCCTATTCTTCAGGCCGGCCTCCCGGCCAACACCACTGTCCACGTAGGAGAGGATGCCCGTTTCGTTTGCAAGGTCTACAGTGATGCGCAACCTCACATCCAGTGGCTAAAACATATCACTCAAAACGGCAGCCGCTACGGCATAGATGGACACCCCTATGTCAGAGTGTTAAAGGTACGTCGCCTCACTTCCCCTTTTAGATTTTATTTCTGCGTAAACAAAAATCCTTCCCTCCGTTGTGGCGTTCTGCCAGTGACTCCAGGTGAATGTCATATAAGGAACTAACTCTGTTTTTCCCCTGATGAAGTGCCAGGTTTTATCCGTGGGGATTCCTGCTTTCTCCTCTCTCCTGCAGATCCATATGCAGTAGCTGTAGTCGTGATGTTTGACTAATTCTGCTCATTCATTTGATGTGCGTGTCTAAGAATGTGTGTGTATGTGGATTGCAGCGTTCAGGCATTAACAGCTCAGACGTGGAAGTGCTCACACTCACCAACGTGACAGAAGAAGATGCTGGAGAATATATCTGTAAAGCCTCCAATTATATAGGCGAGGTCAGCCAGTCGGGCTGGCTGACTGTCATCACAGGTAACCTATGAGACCTGACTCACCTACACTCCCTCCCTACCTTCCGGTGTGGTTTCATAGGCTTCGATCCTGACTTGCTGTGCTGTGGTGGTCCTGCTGGTGGTCCCTTGGTTGTCCTGGTATCACAGTCCGTTTTCCCCCTTTATGTTGCGCCCTTGTGTAATAGCTGTTCCCCCACCCCCCGTCATTACCTGGGAATGGGGAGACCATGGAAGCACTGGACGAGCCCGCACACCTAGGCATCAAAATTGACACAGCTAGCATCTTTTCTCTGTGCGAGCTGTGTCAAGGTGATGCATGGTGTTGCAGTGTTCTCCATGCTCGCTCTGTGTTGTGCATGTGTCTAATGTGTGGTTTAGACTTGCTTTTTCTTAGCAGGTTCTGTGGGTGATGGGAACCTTTTGGGTATTTGTTTCTGGTGCACTTGTTCTGTTTTCCTCATGTATTTGGTGGCATATTGGGTTCCATCTGTGTCCCCTTGTCCTCTCCAGCCCCGAGTGTTCCCAACATCCTTTCCTCTAGATGGAACTGCAACGATGGATACTATCCAGCTCCTCTGATTTCTCTTTTGGTGCTGTGGGGTCTCATTTTTTTCTCTTTCTCTCTCCGTCCTTATTTCTCTCTTTGACTCTTCTACTTTCACCTTCCCTCTTTTCCTCCTCCTCTTCCAGACTGCAGGTGTTAACACCACAGATAAGGAGATAGAAGTTCTCTACTTGCCCAATGTAACATTTGAAGATGCTGGGGAGTATACGTGCTTGGCGGGTAATTCTATTGGGATCTCCTATCACACTGCTTGGTTGACGGTGCTTCCAGGTATATACACCCATGTCTTGTGTTTCTCTTTTCCCGCTCTCATTCTTCTCCAAAAATGATTGGATTGTGTCATTTCAATTATCTCTCTGGAAGGCAAATCCTCCCTCTGGAGTCTAATTCACACAACTCAAATAGCAGATTATGGCTAGGAGCCAGCGCGGCCATCATCCAAGGCAATGCACTGCAAAAAGCAGGGAGAGCTTGTATTCTATAATATGATATGGACTGGTGAGCTGCTGAATGCTCACAGCAGATGACAGGGTGGTTTGGTGTGCTCCAGCAACAGTTCAAGTATCTGTAGACTCCAAAACGTGGGGAAGGTTTGCCTTTCTTCTGTTGCTCTTGTTTGTCTCCTGCTTCTCGGGGAAAGTCTTTGAGTGCCACACAAATAGCATTTTTCCCCTTATGCCTCAAGCTGTACTTTACCCCCTTCTGACTCTGATAATTGGAATCTTTTAAAAACCCTTATTTCTCCCTGAAATAAAGGTTGAAAGTTAAAGCTCAACACTCGCTTCACGTTGGCTTGACTTTCTCAATTATCAGAGCCAAAGCTTTCAACTTCTGCACAGTGAATGTCTTATGCTTGTGTGCGTCGTCATTTATCAACATCCTTTTTTTTTAATCCTCTATTTTTGTCCATTGTTGAATGTCCGGGCTGTAATTACACATGCCAAAGGATGAGAAACGTAAAACTCATCGACGAGTTAGTTCCAGGCTAAACGGGTGATTATTGATGCTCAAGTTCCTTTCAAAAAGTACAGTGGGCATTAAATGTGACTGAGAGTAGCTGGCTGTCGGCAGCCCTCAACAGACAGCCAGTATTAAACCATCATTAAGGCTGTAACAAGATAATAGTTTGGGTTTTGTCTGTAAACAATACCGCATAATGATCACAAGCAGGCTATTTCCTCTGGGAGTAATATGCAATATTTATTACACTCAATGAGCTCTATCTGCACGGCTGGCGCCTTTAAGGCTGTAACTCCTCTGTGTGTGAGTGTGTGTGTGTGTGTGCGCTGTGGTTTTTGGACCAGCAGATACAAAGTAGGCTGAAGAAAGGTTCCTACATGTACAGTAGCTTCACCTCCAGCTGGCTGAAAGGCAGTTTGGTTGGCTGTACTGTACAAAAGCCTTGTTTGTGGTCTGGAGGCTATGCATTATGGAACAGTCTGTTTCTATAGTGTACACACACACACTCAAATATAAACTAAGACCATTTCTGACAGGAAGTTCAGGCGATACGCAACCACATAGGACAGCGCTTTCCCTTTTGCAATCTGAAGTGAAGCGTGCATTGTTCCACCGTTTGTGGGTGTGGGTTTGTGCTCGCGTGTCTCCAACATTAGCACAGAATGCAGACAGATGCAGGCCTGGTTGGACTGGCTGAGTCAAGATTTAATTGTCTGTTTAGACTGTTAAGCCCTGTACGGAGTTTCTAGACTTTTTTTGTTTTTTAACTAGGAATGCTGGGAAAAATAGAGAGGAGAGGATATGCAACAAAATAATTTTTGTTTAGATAGTTCGTTGATGGTGATTACATTTATACATGAGTCACCTCCAGAGCATCCGTCTCTGTGTTTGTCTGTCTGATACCCGTGTTTGTCTGTGCAAATGGAGACCACGTATGTGAGCAATCCTAGAGAGTGTTCCTTTAACCTTCTTCGCCTGACCTCACCCTCGCTGCCATTTCTCTGTTTTCCTCAGCCCTTGAGAAAACTCCTGAGTCCATTTCCCCAGACTACGTGGAGATCGCAATATACTGCGCGGGCGTCTTCCTCATTGCCTGCATGGTGGGCATTGTGGTGGTGTGCCGCATGAGGAACACTGCAAAGAAGCCCGACTTTGGTGGCCAGCCAGCGGTTCACAAACTGACCAAGCAGATCCCCCTGCGCCGCCAGGTAACAGAAAGTAGATAAAGAGTTCTAAAGGCATCTTACACCTCTAGAGGAGAATAACACACATTGCATACATGCTGAAAAAACAAAACATAATAACAGACAGTCTAGATGATATAGTTGTTTTAACTGGGGGTATCAAACTTATCTTATAGGCCAGTTTAATCTCCAGTGGGTTGGATATGCACAGCCAGTGGATAATAATCTATTAAATAAACTTTTAATTACTGGTTCTTTTACAAATCGAACTATAATAATGCACTTTTTTTCCACATTCAGTCACTTTACTGCATTACAAAGAAACACTCATGCTGCAAGTCAAGCAAATGTGTCAGCATGGCTCATTGCGTTGACCACCTTTCTTTGGTGTGGTCCAGCAGGCCAGGGGTTATTTCTTTGTCAGTAAGAACGTCATAAAACTAATGAGGACTCCAACCTCTGGCTTGCATAAACTTAACCTTGCAACACACAATGCTTCTCCACTAAAATAAATAAATAAGCAGTAAAAAGTCTCCAAATTTGGGACCCATTCTTTGCAGTTTTCACGCTTCTAGTCCAAGGGGCCAAAATGGGATCGTTTTTGTCAGCTGTACCTTTGACAACCCCTGATATAGAGTAATGCTGAAAAAATAAAAGCTGCATAGCAAATAATGAGAGGTGAGGGGAAAAAAACATTGGGGCACAATCTGAGCTACATAGTTTTCTCTCCTAATGAAGGTGTTGCCACAATTTAAACAAACAAACAAAAAAACATGCTATTTTTTTTTTTTTTTTTTATGATAACCATTTCTTTTAAAAGACCAAAGTAAAGCCATGTCGTATAAAGAGCAACAGAGCTCGCAAAGACTTGAGATAAAAAAATGCAGTAATCAGTTTTGTTTCTTTCTCACATGCCTCTCAGGGCTTTCATACATGGTTGATACACTTGTAAATAACACAAAGATTACAACTGATGTGGTATCTTAAAGAATCTACTTCCAGATCTCATTTAGGTGGCGTGCATTTTTGTACAAGTTAGCACTGCTGCCTGAAACTGCAGCCACAGTTTTTCTTTTTTGTTTCCCTTTTCTTTTTTTACCCTGTGTATGAGCCACAGTTTTCCCTCAAAGGAAAACCAAAAGGTACAAAAAGTGTTGGATTACATTCTGCAGAGAGACTGATTCCTGTGTCAAGGTAAGGTTAGGCTGGAGGGAGGAGAGATGAGCCCTGGAGACGGTGGCGAAGCTGAGCATTTAACACATATTTATCAAAATTACTGTTGCTGCTCAATTAATCATCATTGAAATGTAATCTCCGGCTCTGGGAACGACTTTATCGTAATACCAAAGCCTTAAATGTGGAATTCCCAAATATACTACTTGTGCTGACGCGCCAGAGTTCCCAGCAATGTTGTTATTTTGTAAATAAAGTAGTCAGTCGTACATGCCTCAATTACTCCTCTAGTGATGCCTCGGAGCTCTAACTGATCTGTGAATCCAGACCGCGGTGATCAGCCAATCCCCTTTCATCCTGCAGGTCTCAGCAGACTCGAGTTCTTCCATGAACTCTAGCACGCCTCTGGTGCGCATCACGACACGGCGGAGCTCTGCACACGATGAGCCAATCCCAGAGTACGACCTTCCTGAGGATCCGCGGTGGGAGTTTTCTAGAGACAGGTGAGAAATATTCTTCCTTTTCCTGTCACAGACATTATCCTTCCTACTTACTGGTGTTTTTGTACCCCGAAGAAAGGAAAACCATAACTGATTATTTTTTCCCTCAGAAAAGAATTTGAGATTAGGCTCGTGTCACGCAAATAAGAACTCCTGTTCTTATTTGCATGTCTCACCACTTTACAAAATGCCAAATAGACATTTATGTAAATCAAATTCAGCTCCTGCATAAACCAAAAAACACCTGAAAATGCTGATCTGCTACCCAGTCCTGCTTTCTTTTGAAAGGGGGTATTCAGAAAAACACTAAGGATTCAGAGCCTGTGTGCAGTAATTGTTTGATGGTATGCATAATACTTTTTTGGGGCCGTCTTTGAGCCTCTATCTGATTTGATCTCACCTGCTAAATGATCAGATTAATCATTTTTATAGGTGAAGAGTGCAGACTTTAATGACTAACTGTTAAAGCACAGTTGTGGTAACTGAGATAAAGGGCTGCTGGCTCATCTGTTGGTGCTTTAGTAAAATGACCTGAACTTGGCACGCTGCACACCGCCTCATCATTACAACGACTGCTACGTCACACTCTCGCTCACCCGTAGTGACACACACACATGCTTCTGTTGGGAAGGAGCGAAGCTGTGCTAATTAGTGGTTAGCATTCACAGCTTTCATCTGCATGTTTGGGCTAGGAGTGTTTGCTCGGTTTCATACCAGAGGAATTAGCACCGCTGAGGTTTCGGTTAGTCACAGTAACTACAGCCAGTGATAAGCTTTAGGGTGGATTTAAAAGGACAGCAAAGGTTAGAGCAGTTTAAAGCTGTCTTGAGGCCTTGCGTTTTGAAATGAAAAATGAAAATCCAAAGCTGTTAGTCTGAAAGGAGGCCTGTCTTTTGTTAAAATGAGTTGTTAAAAAAACAGAACTTGGATCATAAATAAAAATTTTAGCACCAGTCATCAGTGGGGGAAAACATTTCTGATGTCATATTAGACTTTGTGAGTGTGTGCTGCTGAATGGCATTCTGCAGAGAAGGTTTGCTTTTTTTAATAGATGAAGCAACCATAGTTGTTTTGTCTGGGTTGAATAAATGCATGCCTCTGTTTGAGTCTTTATTCCTTGCTTGCCATCCTACCGCCCGAGGGATCACGTTGGGCTTGCAGAAGGCTTAGGAATGCTAACGTTTGCAGTTTGTGTGCAGGAAAAATAACATTGATTATGTGTGGCTGGAAAGACAGACTGGTTGTCATTGAGTGTGGACAGACAGAGGATTGTGTTACTACATAAGGGCCACAGGCTTTTTTCATGTCCCAGTTTGAATATTTACATAGCCTGTACACTGAGCCTTAAGGTAAGGGCCTCTACTGTCAATCAAATAACAGACAGGAGGCTACACTACCAGCTCAGTGGTCTGATTGGTGCTGCAGCAGCTCTGATGCAAAGTTATGAAAGGGCCTGTGTAAGAATTTCTCCCCCTGATTGATAAATCAGTGCAATAGAGTTTGGACGTTAAATTTAACACCAGATTTTGAAACATGCACCTGTAAGGCAAACTAAAGGAAGAATTCCATCCTTCTGAGGCCAATGTTTTAAGGCTAAAGTAGGCTGTGGGTAATGACTTGAGAAGAGTGTATATTGAAACATGCCAAGAGAGGGTAAACAGTTTAGAAATTAGTGCTCTCCCTGACTTTATCAGACGATTATCGTAGCCACGTCTGCCTTCCTACCTACTGCCCTGGCAGAGGCTGCGGTCGCTGTGCCAATAAAACACTCACACAGACACAATCTGATTTAAACGTAGCAGTCTAGAGAAAAAACCCCAAAACCGATAGGGTGAGGTTGACAAGCTGGTTCTGTGCCAGGTTTCATTAACTCTCTCTCCCACACTCTAACCTGTTTACTGCAGCACCGTGGGTGAGTCAGTGCACACAAATCGGCCTCATGCATTTGTCTCCCTTTCTGCAGCTAATCAGCTTCCTGTCTATTTTTCCTTCTTTCTTCTCCTTCTGTGGCTGCAGGTTGACCCTGGGCAAACCCCTTGGTGAGGGTTGTTTTGGCCAAGTCGTAATGGCAGAGGCCCTGGGCATCGATAAGGACAAACCCAAGGAGGCTGTAACTGTTGCAGTCAAGATGCTGAAAGGTAAGTGAGTCTCAGTAGCGTTGTGTGTCAGACCGCGGGGATAAGATGTACACTTACTTCATTGTGTCTTCTGAGCAAGGTGAGAACATTTTATAGGTGATTTATGCTCCAGTGAGGGTTCACTAAAGGTGCGTGGTGGAGCCTGGGGCTGTCGTTATTATTCGTTATTGGTGGTTGCTGAGTGACAGCTAGAGGGATGCAGGTTGGGAAGGTAAGGGTTAGGGTGCGGTTACATACCTGACCCCAGAGCAGCAGCTGGCTGGAGCTCAGTCAGCACCCACACAAAGAAGTAAGTCACACTAGCAGCACTGCTGAGATTAATGAAAACAGGAGGAGGGGGCACTGGGTTGGTTTGAGGTTGCGGGGTACGGTGAGATCAGACATGGCAGCAGGCTATTGGGCCGACCTCGACAGTATACGTCTGCTTTTTTAAAACGACTCCAGATACGGTAATGGTGCAGTGGAATGCAGGCAATGCCAGTCTGGCTATTGGGATATCTCTACTTGCTCAATCAGTTCCATGACAAAAGGAGCCTGTGCAGCAGATAATGAATCCAGATTGAACGTCTTTAATTCCTTCTCCTCCCTTGCCCTGGTGCTGAAAGGATGCCTCTGTAGTCATTGTGGGGAGCTTCCCTCGCTGCTGTAACTCGAGCCGACATTGTCTGTCATCCGCACTTAATCAGACGCACCTAAAAAACAGGGTGCTGTCTAAAGGGACAGCTCCTTAGTCCTGAGCCAAAGGGTTAAAGGGGCGTTTGGAATATGGGGTGCGTGTTTTTCAGACCTTCTCTTGGCAACCTTTAATATGTGACTTCTTCTGCTGTTAGATGACGCCACCGAGAAAGACCTGTCTGACCTGGTGTCAGAGATGGAGATGATGAAGATGATCGGCAAACATAAGAACATCATTAACCTTTTGGGGGCCTGTACACAAGATGGTGAGTGCATTGATTGTGAGAATCAGTGTGCATGCATATGCAGATGAGTTTGCTGATTTTCTGTACAATGCCATAAAGGTTTGCTACAGGACCCTTTAGTGTCCTTAAGCACACTTGTTGAGTCCCCATGAAAACAATACTAAAAACCCACTGGCTTACTCTGCTTAGTTAGTCTCAGGGGACAATGTTAAAGTCTTTGAGGTTTCCAGTATAACTGTCACTAAAAAAGATGATAAAAAGCTACATTGTCATCACATGATAGTCAGTGGTTTGCTCTTCAGTGAGCGTAGTCTCTTTCTGTGCACACGGGCTGTTCAGCTGCATGCAAAGCAACAGGAATCGTCTATTCATATGCAGATTTGTGTTTGGAGCAATTACTGTGAAAAAGAAAAGAAGAAAAAGAATTGGCTATTCTGAGTTTTGGAAATGCACATAACTGTTGAAATGCAGCTCTGCACAGACTGGCTGCTTTAATGCCGTTTCTCACACAGCCCTTCTCAACTGTTTTTGAGCAGAAATTTCCATGAAGCAAGCGGTGGTTTTATGATCTGAATGTTCTGTTTTTCATTAAAATTCACTCTGAATTTTGTCACTTTGTTTCAAAGGGAATAATTCAAGTTCAAACACTTGTTTGGCTCCGTCTCTTGTGCAGGCCCCCTCTATGTCATAGTCGAGTACGCCTCCAAAGGTAACCTCAGGGAGTACCTCCGAGCCCGCCGGCCACCCGGCATGGAATACTCCTACGACATCGCCCGTGTCTCAGACGAACAGCTCACGTTCAAGGATCTGGTCTCCTGCACTTATCAGGTGGCGCGGGGCATGGAGTACCTAGCATCGCAGAAGGTAAGGAGAGGACACGCACAGACACAGACAATGCCCTGTTCTCATATCGATCGCACGCTTGCTGGTTGCCAAAACAGATCTCGGTGCCAGCACACAGAGGGTTTGATGTGCTGTATCCACAAAGGTTTTACGTAGAAGCTTGTATGTGCTTCACTGTGGGAATACTGTCTCCTAAAAACACAACTCTTACCCCGCCTCTCTGCCCAAATCCCTACATTGTCTCTCATTCCACTACAAAAGCCCCTCTGTGTAGAAGAATTGTTAAGTTTTCACAATAGGGGTGCAGCCATGTTGGCCGAAAGCAGCATTACGCTCCCTCTAACTGTTGGAATGTGACAGAGCACGCTGCCTCACACGCACGCACACGCTAAAGTGCATATGTACAACCATACATGTGTCAAGGTATGCGAGGAATCTTTACTGATCCAGGCTTGTTGAAGACTGTGTAGTCGATGTGGCGTCGTGTTATTCAGTCCAGCACTCCCTTTGTGCAGGAGATTTCTGGATGATTTCATGCACCACAGACACTTTAACACCATCCCAAATAAAGTATGCACCTGTTTCCAAGTTGATTTATTTACAGAATGAGGTAATTGTCTTATTCTCGTCTTCTCCCTCCCCCCTCTTTTCTCAATCCACATCTCAGTGTATACACAGAGACCTGGCAGCGAGGAACGTCCTGGTCACAGAGAGCAACATCATGAAGATCGCCGACTTCGGCCTGGCCAGGGATGTCCACAACATCGACTACTATAAAAAGACGACCAATGTAAGTACTCTGCGTGTCAGCGGATGCTTTTTGGAGAGCTTCAGCGGGGGATGAGTTCACCCTCCTCTCCTTTTGCTCCAGTTCCTTCCCTTCCCTCATCTTTCTGTTTCACTCCGTTTCCTCCGCTGGTGTCTTGGCATAAGCTACAGGTTCCCAGGCGGCCTGTGAATCTAGTGCTTCTGGAGACTCTGCCTGTTTACCCCTCAGTCTCTTGTTCTTTTGGTTTCATCGACACTTATACAATTAGCCCAGAAAAGAGACCGAGCGAGAGGGGAGGGAGCAGCAGCTTAGCCGTAATTGACATCTCCATAGCGGCCCAGTGGTGTCTTTCTTTCCCACCGCAGAACGTTGTTGCCTGCGCATCCTCATTTCATATGCATGATTGCCTTTTCATCGCATGCACAATCACGCTGAGAACTAGCTGACAACAACAACAATATTCGATGATGTTGACGGTGACGAAGATTAGGGCAAGCAAATGCGACAATGATTGAAACGGGACCAATAAAGACAGAGGCATCATTGTAGTGCTGCATTTTTTTAATATTTCTGTTAATCTTCATTGGTCTGACAGGAATGGGACACTTTACATCAGCCTTTTATTGAATTGCTTCATAATTCTTTATGGAATGAATGAAAACTACAGCAAATTCAGATTTTGTGTATTTAACTTGCTGCCCACCACAGCATCTGTAACTAAAGAATACCTATTTAGTGTCTGAATGTTAATATATACTCACCAAGGTCGCCTTGTCAGCTACGCTTAGCTTCCCGGCAAGTGTTTCAATGCTACAGTGATAAACTCTTCTTTATCCGTGACCCTGTTTATCAGCTCTATTGCCCTAACAATGTAAACGTTCCTCAGGGAAATCCATTCCCCCCTAGACAGTCGCTCCTCTAGTGCCTTATTCCCTTGACTACTTCCACATATCAGCTTTTCCAGGAGTAATGAGATCTCCTGGTCATGAGGGATTTGAATTTCTTGCTGATGAAGCAAGAAATTTAGAGCTCGGCAGTCTTTTAAGGGGTACATTTTATTAGACCTCTCACCTGAGTGTGTGTGTGTGTGTGTATGTGTGTCCGTCCTCAGGGTCGTCTCCCGGTGAAGTGGATGGCTCCAGAGGCACTCTTCGACCGGGTCTACACACACCAGAGTGATGTGTAAGTATATAACAAAGTGTTTCTGTGTCCCACCACTGTAAATAATCCAAAATCCATTTACTCACATCAGTGGTACATTAAGCTTTATCATAAAGTAAAAGATGCTGTCACAGCTATTTTCTATAGCCTGCAGTCAGAGTGATTGTTTTTCATGGGGTACAGGAACAGAGGGTAGGTGATGGCTTTTTTTTTTTTTTTTGGTGCAGTGTTGGTGAGTGTTAGGTTGAGGGGGATGACTGGCTGTAGGGGGCCAGTAGTGGCCAGTCTGTGGCAAAAGTGAGGATTTCACGCTAGACTTGGAGCCAATGCCGTGTTACTAATCTGGCCGGCTTCAAAGGGCCTAGAAGGAACCCGGAGCCCACCAGCACCTCCTCTTTTCCCCCTCTGATTCACCCCTGCTCCTCCGGCCCTGCTCGGAAGTTTCCCGTCTTGTTTGGGCCCCCCATGCACCTCTAAACGCAACAATGCTGCAGCCTCCCCGTGCAGGCCTCATCCTCCCTGCATCCAGCCTCTTTTAACCCCCTGCCATCCCCTCTTTACTCTCCTCTCCTTATTCAGCAACACTTTGAACATGTGGATCATCATTTTGGAGCAGTTCCACGATCAAAATACCCCCCCCCCCTTTTCCCCTACTCTTCTTATTTTCATTCATCTGGTATGTGAATTGCTGACCCGTCTCTGTCTCTCTCTCTTTTTAAGATCAAGAGTACTCATTCTAAAAACAGAACAAAGGGAGCGCGTCCCTCTCTTTTTGGTGTTTGAGTCTTATGTGTTCTGACAGCATTGTTTGAAGCTTCTGCTCCAGACACTGGCGGCAGAAAGTGTATGTGGCAATTAGATAAATGCCTTGCATGCTGACCCCTGGGAAGGGAGGCTTTATGTGTGTGTGTGTTTCAGTCAGACGGATAAGTGCTATATTTAGTGTGCTACTGCTGTATAAGCCCTTTGATAGAGAATTTCTTTCCTGTCCGTGCCTCTGTGTATTGTTTGTGCACATAAGGATGTGTAAGTACACATGATGCCCTTCGTGTTCCACAGCAGCAATCAATAACCCTAGGAAGTACAAGGGGGAGGAGCTGAATGGGGGGTGGGGTGCAGTCATGAAGTGGCCACTGTAGTTCTGCTTATTAGCTCACCGCTAATTACGATTCATCACTCACTTTTAGTAATTGGCTTTTTCTCAGAGGTGCAGTTGGAGCGGCGCTTACGCTGGTCGCCAGAATGACAAGCGATCCATACGTGACATCAGATTAAATGAATACATGAATTCCAATTGAACTCGTGTGCTGTTGTTTTGACAAATGGGGACTTTACAGTCCAGCTTTCAGGGCCTCGAGTATTCCTATTTGCATACGAATCGCATATTCATTTATTCTCTGGTTTTTGTGCTGCATTCTGTCATCAGAAATTTCAACAATAGAGAACAAAAAAACCCAACTGAATGTTTATTGACTGGTTGTTTTTTAAGTATAAATTCTGCATCTAGTTGGCTGGAGTACATACAGATCTACCTGGCCGCATTCCAGGTCAGGTAAATTGACCCCAAGCGTGTTGCTTTGTTTGGTACGACATGGCTGACTGCAAGTAGACACAAACTTGTTCTCCCCAACAAGCGCTGAGCGATGGTTACAATCTCAGAAAGGAGAAATGAGTGTGTCAACAAGTGCAGTGATAGAGCAGAGAAGAAACCTGGCTGGCTGGTTGTGTAAACAGATGGAAGATCCTGATAAATGCCCAACCTGCCTCTCTGTGCATACTTGCCTAGTTAGACCACTAACACAGATTGTGGTTGCCTGAATGCATGTGCACACACTGCGTTTTGTCAAATGTGTCTGCACGTTACAATAGCTGCAGCCATTGGGTGAACATGAATCAAGCGTGCTGTCATTGCTCGAATGATTCATTTGAAACGCTCGGTACACGATGATGACATCAGCAGCATGAAAGCCGATGATGTTTAACAACCGGATGCTGCAATGAGGAAGTAGTTAAAAATTAATAGTCACCAGCCATCTCTGGAGTTCTTTTGTCTTTTCTGGCTCTTTTGTCAATAGTGGGTGGTCCAGCGTTTGTTTTGGTGTGGTGCGATCGGACAATGCGAGTCTGTGCAACTGGCCAGCCGGGAACAAAAGCCATCATTGAGATCGGGGCCAGAGTAGCACTGGCAGTGCGTTTGAACCACGAGTCATTGGACAACAGAAAGAGGGCATTGACACCACGGCTGTCACACTGTTGTAATTTTCTAACCCATAGCCAAGTAAATGTTATGTATGTAAATGATTAGAAGCTTAAGGACATTTGTACTGGTTTGCAAACTCTGGAGCACTATTTACACAGATATATATTTCCTGCTCTAGTCATTCTTAAACACCCTGGTCAACATGTTAATGTGTATGTATGTTCATTCTTGTGTTGCCAGCTGGTCATTTGGGGTGCTGATGTGGGAGATCTTCACCCTAGGGGGCTCACCCTACCCTGGCATCCCCGTTGAGGAGCTTTTCAAGTTGCTTAAAGAGGGCCATCGCATGGACAAGCCCGGAAACTGCACCAACGAGCTGTAAGTTTAGCTTTTTTTTTTTTTTCTGCGAAAAGCACATATTCTCTAACTGAGCTGCTACCAAAATACACATCACGTCGTGCATCGAGACTGAATGCCAGCCCAGTCTCCCATCAGATCCATGACTACGCGGCTCTGTGTCCACTCAGTCGGGCTTCTGCACAGCTGTGCCTGTCTGCTATCAGTGTCCTCATTCACAATGAGACCTCTGCAGTCAGCAGACAATGGCACAGTTTCTGCGGCGGTGCCACAGCGAGAGGGCTGATGGGGGAATAGCAGAGGCGGATAAACAGAGAGTACACATTATAGTATTAAAATAAATCCAAAACACTGAGAGACATGTTTCTAATCAACAGCAGGGCTTCACAATGTGGGGGAAAAAAAAATAATGTCAGAGTCTGCAGTTTTTGTTTTTTTTCTTTGATAATGGAGAAATCTGGGTGAGCAGCTTACTGTATACTTCCCTAAACAATTTGCGGTCCTTCCCCTCATCCCCAGAGTTTTTCTTTTAATAAATTGACCATAATTATCTCTTTTTCAGGTACATGATGATGAAAGATTGCTGGCATGCCATCTCATCCCAGCGACCCACCTTCAAGCAGCTAGTAGAGGATCTGGATCGCATCCTAACCCTGAGCACCAATGAGGTGAGCGCAGCCCTGTCTTCTTGATTTCTGGGTGGTCAGAATTCACACTACATAAACCTTGCTGGCAAATGGGAGTTGAGCATTCCATAGCAATAAAATAATAATGATACAAAAGCTTCTCCATCCAAACCAAATTACGCTCTTGCCAATGCATGCATGTGTCAGAAAAATGTTGCATAAGGATTTTTGTGCATTAGCCGCGACATTATTGAAATAAGGCCTAAATAGTGACCGAAAAAAAGGGGCCAGATGATTTGATCCAGGCCTAACATAGTTGCTACGGCCAAGTAAAGTTGCCCAATCATCAAATCCATACTTTGCTCCTTATGACGGCCCACTATTTTTTCCATTCCCCTTCCTGTCTCGTGTGATATCCGAATGCCGACCTGAAAAGAGGCCGTCGATGGAAAGCTGTCAGGACTCGTCTTCTCTGGAGCTCGAGCTTCAGGAATTTATGCCAGCAAAGCCCCACTTTGAGTTTGAACTTTTGAAATGTAATAAAGCGTCTTTTTCTTGCTTTTTTTTCCCCCCTCTCCATCCTTTCCCTTTTACCCCAAACCGCTGGCAGATGTGGAGATCTTTAGTAATATGAGCCTTTTCGTGTTGAGCTGGGAAAATGGAAGCCAGTGCTCATTTTCTACAAAACCCCAAGAACTCTTCCTCCTCAAAACTTGTCCCAATAACAGCCATGAAAGACTGGGAGGAAACAAAAGGGGGGGAAGAAGGCTGCCTCGGCCGACAGAAAAGATCAAAACAACTTCCCAATGCTGGCTAAAGTCAAAAATTAATAACAGCTTTCCATCTTATTTCGTTTTCATTTAGCTGTGCTCTGCCAGTTTCTTTATTTTTTTCCCAACAATCTTGTAGTACTTATGTCTGGCGCTTCAGTGTCAGATATCAGATCTGTTTGGAGTGAAGTGAGATTGAGGTTTATGCCACATCCCTACCCAAGTTTCCTTCTCTAAATGTATCCTCTTGTCCCCAAATCCTATCCATCTCAAACCACTCTGTGGTGGACGGAAAATGCGTCCAGGTCGGCCCTGCTAGCTTCAAGCTCAGTCAGCAGTCCAACGTTCACTTTATTACCTATTATTCCTGCAAATATTTTCATACAGTATCCAGTTTAAGATTGCATTTTTTTCTGTTTCATTTCATAAGTCCTCCCAGGGTTTGGATAAATACCATAATAAAGGTGATACTCTTCTACTCCACTGCTCTCCCAATGCTCTGGAAAGTCCCTAATCCCGTCGACTGGATTTCAGCACGAAATTTGCGTTCTTGTGTTTGTTCTAGATCTTCTTCCTCTTACGTCTTCGAAACGTTCCTTCCCTTTGTTCTGCGTGTAAGCGATCTCACCCAACCCTCCCTTTCCTCTCTCTGTGTCTGCAGGAGTATCTGGACCTGTGCGCCCCAACAGAGCAGTATTCCCCCAGCTTCCCCGACACTCGGAGCTCCTGCTCCTCCGGCGACGACTCCGTGTTTTCCCACGACCCATTACCGGACGAGCCCTGCCTCCCCAAGTACCAGCACATCAACGGGAATGTCAAAACATGAGCCCTCATCCACCCTCGTCCACCTAGTTTGACCTACCCTAATCCTACCTGTCGGAGTCTTAAAACACGCTCCAAATTTCCTCCACCCGCCCTCCCCATCACCTCCTGTGGCTCCCGGTGGACTAATGGGCCCAGACAGGACTGGGTGGTGGCAGCGCTGCTGTCACACTCTCATACTGCCATACGCTCACACTTTATATATAAATATAGGACATGCTCACATGAGGTCTTAAAGGAGAGGATAGGGACCTTAAAGAAGCCTTTTTGTACTGACTGAATGAAGTGATGTTCCCAAGGGACTCTTCTCCTCTTCCTCTCTTGATATAAACAGAGATTTTTCATTTTGGTTCTCATGTTTATACCCAGAGTGTTTTTTTTCTCCTTTTTTGCAATCAACAATGTTTGGTGGTCCAATTCCAGTGGCTGGCATCCCAAGACTGTTGTGTACTCCTGGAAGAATGTATGGGTTCATGTGAACTTGTGGAAAAAACAAGGGACCAGAAGAGGACGGCAAATAGGAAATGGACTAAGAGACAGAGCTGCGACTAACAAAACAGAAGAATAGGTGGAGAGCAAATATAAAAAAAAAAGCAAAACTTCTGTTTATTTTGTAATATTAATGCATTTCTTTTTCAGTTTTATTGATAAACCTTCCCAACTATCCTGGAGGAAAAAAAATACACAGTATAATGTATAGTGCTGGGTATATTTGTAAATATATTCAAATATGTATAAAAATATATTATATATTTACAATGAATTATTTTTTGTATGGACTTGGATATAAACCCCACCCTCACCCCGACCACCCCCTATATGAGTTGAAAGCAGGTGTGCTAACAGGTTATGTGTTCTACGTTTCTCGCTACACACACGAATACACACTTTAATACACACAAACACCTGTCTCACACTCACCCAGTAACACAGTCGAGTATTGGCTTTCAGGGACCGAGGTAGCATGTTAATTTATTGACTTTCTTTTTTTCTTTTTTTTTTTAATGAATCAAAAAATATAAAAAATAATATGGAAGAAATTATGACATTAATGATGCTGATAATACATAAATAATCCATTAAAAATGTATGGTAATTTAAAATGATCTTTCAACAGTAACAGGAAAAAAACTATTTTTAGTGGGTTTGAAAGATCCAGGTTTTGTAAGTTTTATATATGAATGTGAATATTAAGTTAAATTTTTTGAAAAACTGTACATTTTATAGTCAGCTAATCCCTTTCTTATGTAGATCTTAATGGCATTTTTATCCAGTCGTTCTTAGCAATGCTTTAGGAAATAAGATTACTGGATATTTATATATGATTGAAATACATAAGAATTTGGAAACGCATACCAGCAATCTGCTCCCTCAGTTTGACTAGATATAGGTTTTAAATTTCCGTGACAGAATTGAAAGCTGAAAAACAAAGTGTTAAATCATAAAAGTGGTTTATTTTATTTTATTTTTGTTGTCGTTTTTTTTTTTTTTTTTTTTTTTTACTGGACCAACTTTAAGATGTTGTTTTGCAAGTGTTTATGCCACATTTGCGAAATAAATGATGGGAAAAAAGATATCACGACCCAATGTTTGGCTTTTTGAAATGTTTTCAGTGTGAAGTTGATTAGTTTTGCAGCAAGTGGCACTTTGTTTGGTTTTCCTAACACTGCACATTGTGTTGTACAGCTGCACTCTCCTCTGACCTAAATATCTTTTCACTTTGTATCTGATAAGGGTAGAGTTGATTTAGCTGTTACTACTGGTATGCTTGGATTCTTTGCTTACTATGTAAAGAGAGGAATTTGTTACTCTGTCAGCCATTAAATCACACAAACTGCACAAATGTACAGGGGCTCTATGAACAGGCAGATGACGTTTTTCTGTTTCATTTCTGATAGAAGCTGTCCAGATGCAAAACCTCTGAGCTCATCAGAAACTCGGAGTAAACCTGATCAAATTAGATATTGGATTTGTGCCAGTGGTTATACCGGCAGTTTTGTTAATGAATAGGGGACTCCTCATTCTCTTGATAGCTTTCCTCTGCGTCTCTATCCGTCTGACTCTGATCAGCCAAAGAGTCTGTTAGCCTTCTAATGTTCTGATTAGCTAATTGATTTCCATTTTATTCTTATCAGTATAGATTTAAATCAACGGATTCAGTTGTCTGACCTTATTTGATGTAAGATAATCAAAGCTGATCTATTAGCAAGTGTGATTGTTAGTGGCAGATGTGGATTTGGTTGCATTTGGCTAATAGTGGTTAGCTTGCACGCACACACACAGCCGATGGGTTATAGAAAAACCCAGTGAGGCAACAACAGTCAACTATGCTAACAGCTGTTGTGCTAGCTAAAAAGAATATTGTTAGCATGCTGTGTTAACTTTTTCTTATTAACAATAACCATAAAGTAGCTTACGATAATGATTCAGAGAATTATTTAGTGAAAAATTAACTGCTAAATATGAACTTGTTAGCTATATGAAACATTACTGACCAAAGTTACTTGCAGGACTGTGTACCTAACTTTTACTTTTTAGTCTACTGACTGAATTATGTCGGTTCTACTAAACACCTATTTAAACCTACTAAGTTTTTGGGTACAGAGTAGACCTGGGTCAGAGGAAGAAAAAGAGGAAGCCCATGTAATAGCACGCATGCTGAAACTGAATTTAGTTCAATTGAGTTTTATTCACAACACCAGTCACCTTACAGCTTTGAAAGGTAAAGACAATGTTTGCAAGAAACCAGACAAACTCAAAGAGCAATGGTGGCATCCTGAAAGTCTAAGTGTGGTTTAACTTTTTACAATTCAACACATTTATCTTACACAACGCAAAGCCGACCATGGCAACACATTCAATCTGAAGAAATACTGGTCAAATACAAAATATACAATGTGAAGAGTCTACCATGTTGGATACAGACCTACAGCTAACGTTAGCACATGTGTGTCATCGTAGAGGAAGCTTAACCCATGGTTAATGATGATAAAGATGAAACTGTAAGTGCGGCCACCCTATCCACATCTGGCCGTTAGGTAGTTGGATAAGTTGTTGTCTGAGAAATAGGTTGATGTCTTTTGACTAGCGGCACTGAAATTTCTTATAACAATGCTATTTATCGTAAACAGGCAGTATATTAGCAAACTTTCAAAGGCAAAGACTCTAACATTTCTATTTAATATTGCAGTATGCGAACAGGGACTGATGTCAACATTAGACACACTGTCAAACAGTGACCAAGGCAGCTGGTGTTATGTGTAAAATGTATTATTTTAGAGAATATGAATGTACTAAATTGTAGGTACTGGTAACAGTTCAAATGTGAAAGATACCCAACTCTAGTTGCTACAGTTCATTTTGTGGATGGATGAACATTTAAAAAAAAAAAAA